GGGGGATCATTCTACCTCGTATATAGTCCTAAGCGCACTTCTTCAAAACCAACCCAAAAAATGTAAACAAAATCGCTCACCATTTGCTAAAGCCTGAATACGCATCGTCCAATACGGAGTCCAACAAATAAAGTAAAAAGCGACGACTAGCACAGAGCACTTGACCACTCTAGACAGCGAGATGCTAGTTTTTCTCCCGACGGTCGAGAATCTCGTGTGCCGAAATAGCTTGACCAAGATCACAATATAGACAGAGAATATGAGTAGAAGTGGAGCGACATAGCAGGTGAGCGTGTGAACGAGATCGAACCAGAGGTTCTCGCCCAGAGTACATTTTCTGTATTCCATGCCTTTGGAATCCGGCATATCGGCGATTTTCGCATGTGCTGTTATTGGAGCGATGAAAAGCAAGGAAGCCATGATGCAGATAGAGACCACAAAAAGAGCGAACTTCGTTTGTCGCATCCAGATCAGAGCGGGTTTACAAACGGCTATGTATCGGTCTATCGATAGAGCTGTGAGGATCATTGGCGACAGGGTCTTGTTGGTGCCCTCGCTGAACCAGAGCAGTTTACAGAGAGCAATCCCGAAAATGAATTCGTTCTCCTGCAGATCGGCGACCAGCATCGGCACCGGGATCAGCGATATTAGGTCGACCACGGACAGGAGCAACAGATAGATGTAGGCCGAGCTCTGCGTGTTCGGCTTGACGATGCGCCCGCGATGTCCTGATGATCCGCAGCAGCCCAGCAACTGCGACGAGACCGTGATCAGCACCCAGATGTTGCCGAGCAGACCAGTCACTGCCAGCGTTGAATAGAGCACGATCAGTACGATGATGTTCAGGCCGACGTCCATGGCGAGCTGGCATCGCACTGTCAAGGAGGGCGGGGCTTAAGCTGAGCGCGCGCCCGAAAGGGTCACTCCTAGAGTATTTACGCCCCCGCTCTGCTGTTCCTGGATCTCGTCGAAGTGGCCGAATCACGGTAGACGCACTGAAAGACAATACTCTTCAGGTGGCATCTCA